ATATATAATTATATAATTTATATATAATTAGTTGTTTCAACATGAAGAACAGAAAGAGAGAAAAATTTAGTCGTAGTGAGAAAGTACTAGATGCCGATGTTGCATTTTAGTTCGCAGATAAGCCACATATAAGATTAACAGCAAATATAGCGACAATGCGCTGTCCTGAGTTTTGAATTCGGTTAGGAAACCATGTTAGAGTGCGATTATCCATGACCTCCACATGAAGAGCATTTGGTTGATGATAGTTGTGTTCCTATCGCGCATCAGAGTGCTATAGGGGGGAAAGGGGTGGTCTAAAGGATTGGAGCGCGGTGAAGTGAATCCTGTTTTTACACGAGTTAATTCACCTTGCTTCAATGAATTGTTACACCCGTTTGTAATTCTTAGGGGTGGACATTTCTTACAGGCTTGCTTGCTTGCCGATGTTGCGTCCTAATCAGGGCGAGCCGTTTGGTAATTTACCGTTGAGGAGGGTGGTTTTTTAGCAGGTAGAAGTCTGGAAGTAGTAGTTTTCTAGGTCTCTGGCATTGACGGCGATGGTGTCCGAATAACTTCTGCATGCATGTCTCGGATATCATCGTGGCCACGCTGGAGGAATCCTGTTTAACCGAGGCTGGAAGACAGTTCTGCACGCCTATTAGAAGCGAGGTATGTTTTAAACATTTGGACCACCCCTTATAAAAGACGAAAAAAAAAGTTTCATATATCTTAAAATTATATAACTTTAATTTTTTAAGTTTTATTAACACAACTGAAATTGAAATGTATTTTGTAGTTTTATATTGTAATTTATAGCTATTGTAGTATGTCCTGCTGCTAATAACCCTCAGTACCAAAATCTAAAAGTTCAGGAGTTCAAAAATGCGAATAAACTTCAAACTAGTATAAGTTGGTTAATTTAAATTATTTCTTTCTGGCCCTTCAGAATATTAAGGCTAGACTATATATTTAAACGAAATTTGTAATTACAGCTTACTGTTTAAGAAAAAAAGTAAGCTTAACATGCTTAGCCAGTGAAGAATCATATCTTACTTAAATTTAGTCCTAGTACCTTCTGCAATAGACCATTTTAAAGACAATTGATATATTTTCTTATTAAATGTATATTTATTGTACAGACCTAATAACTACGTAAAAAAAAATTAACCTTATTTCCTTTAACGAACAATGTTTGCAAAAAATTTAGGGAAAATGGTCCAAATATGAGTGTGAGTGGCAAAAGTTTAAAAATCATATCTCGAATACTATAAATATAAAGGCTTCTGCCAAACGTCAATTTGAAGAAAAATGATAGAAGTTTTATGTCTGCATTGCAATGCTCCAATTCATGCTCATTTACTAAATAAACATAAAATTTAATTGTGAAATGTTATTTTTATAAAATAAAATAAAGAGCTTATTGAAAATGGCAAATTTGCCGAAACATTTAAGCAATAATTAAATAGTTTTATTTACATACATACTGACAAACCCAAGAAATAAAAAGGTTTCTATATATATATATATATATATATATATATATAATATATACAATGAAGTAGGTTTCAAAAGAAAAAATCTTTTGATCACGAGGATATCGGTCAAGGAGAAATAATACAAGGAAATCACAGTTCCATTCCTATATTTGAAGACCTTTCGCTTGTGGAGTTTACAAACTTCATCAGTTCAATGAATGGTGAGTGAAGTATAAAAAGGTGTTAAACAAACACACCATTTCTTGGTAACTGTGGTCAATACATTAAAATGTTAAAATCGTAGCTTGAATCATTCATCTTTAACCTATGGAAATAGACCTTGGCAAAGGGTGTGAGACAGGGCGACACCATTTTACCCAAGTTATTTACTTTGGCATTAGAAAATGTTTTCAAAAAACTAAATTGGGCCCAAAAGGGATTAAAAATAAATGGAGTATATCTTAACCATTTGCGTTTTGCAAACGACATAGTACTAATAAGCACAGATATCCTTGAACTAAAATCAAAGCTACAGGATTTAAATCACAAATCGAATCAAATAGGATTAAAAATGAATCTCGACAAAACAAAGATATTAAGCAACAGCCTAGAAAACATCACGATAGATAACATCAATATAGAAAAGGTAGAACAATATATATATCTAGGACATGCAATTAAAAACAAAAAGGAAAATCAAATCCTAGAAATTAAAAGAAAGACACAATTGTCATGGGCTGCTTTTGGTAAGTTGAGCTTCATTTTAAAAGACAGAAAAATCCCAATTCACTTAAAACGAAAAACCTATGACACTTGTATACTACCATTTGCAGCTTATGGATTGGAAACTATGGAAATAACAAGAAAAATGGCAGAACAATTAAATGTAACTCAACGGGCAATGGAGAGAGCCATGTTAAATATAAGCCTCAGAGACAAAATTCCTAACACCGAAATACGTCGAAGAACTAAAGTAACCGACATCAACCGACCGAAAAATAGCGACATGGAGATGGCAATGTGTAGCACATGTAGCAAGACAAGACACCAACAGATGGTCCCATAAAGTGATATTCTGGAGACCTCGAGAAACAAAAAGAATCGTGGAAAGACCTAAAAAGAGATGGATAGACGATATAACTGCTGTAGCTGGAAAGCAGTGGACGAGAATTGCAAAAGATAGAGAAGCGTGGAAGCAACTGGAGAAGGCCTATGTCCAACATTGGATAAATGAAGGCTGAAGAAGAAGAAGAATTATTATAAATAGATTAATTCACCCCTTTATCAAAAACACACCCTGTTAAATGGTAGTACTCCGCCATTTTTTCATACTTGATGTTCCATTGATCATATGAAATCACAAAACCCCTTTAACCTTGTAGTTACTGTTATACTTCTTTTTTTGGACACAATCAATAGTTTATTTGCTAGATATCTTCGCATATTAGCCAGATAACTTATATTCAAGTAAATGCCTAAATAATACTTATTTTTTTATTCTTGCAGTAAGGATCGACGCCACATAATTCGGCATTAAAAGCCAATACGCTGAGCTCTCTTTGACTATAGTAAAAATAATATAAAGAGACATGAAGTTACACATTTACAGCAAAAACAATTCGTGGTTAGAGGATCTACGTGATTGGTATCAAATCAGATTGATTGATTTGTTTAGAGTAGCAAGTTCAAAAATAAAAATAGCCATTATGATTACCAACCTTTGTATGGAGACCGTAGTCTAAGAAGAAGAAAAAACATGATAATAAAGCAGATCTTCTTCACGTGATATATCAGAATTATCCGACGTTGGCGATCACCATTGCAAAGGCTTCTCGATCTTCTGCAATATGGAATAATTGTCCCGAATTTGATATTGTGATATTTGACTCCATTCACGAATGTTCCTTAACCAAGAAACCGTTTCCTTCTACATCTCTACGGCCCTCTATTTTGCCTTTAAGGATCAGTTTTAATATTTTATATCGACTTTCCCTTACTATATGTCCCAGATAAGCCAGTTATCGATATTCAACAGTCTTAGCAGTTCTCTATCTTTGTTGATGCTATTTAGTACTTCTTCATTAGTTTTGCTTGCTGTCCAAGATATTTTCAGCAGTCGTCTCTGAACCCACTGCTTCATTTCATTTCCAATGCTTCAATTTTGTTCATGATCGATACTTTTAGCGTCCACACTTCTGCACTATACAAAAATACTATACTATAAAGTGTACACTGTACACTATACAAACATAGCACTTAACCATTCTTTGTCTTAGTTCTGAACTGAGATGATTATTGCAAAGAAATGACTTCATTTTCATAAAAGTACTTTTATTCATTGCTATTCTACGTTTTATTTCTATGTCTGGATCTAGTTGATCCGTTATCGCCGTTCTTAAATATGTTACTTTGTGAAATTTCTCAACTTTGACTCCGTTTAATTAAAGCTTTGCATCGGGATGTGGGTTACCACTAAACACTGAAAATTTGGTTTTGTTTTAATGCCCATTGCCTCTCCTACCTCGTGAATACAATCAAGCAGAATTTGGAGACTTCCAATAATATCTGACATTATATGGTTGTCTTTCAAATGTCTTTTTAAATAACTAGTCAAGTAAACATTGAACAATGTTGCCGACAATATTCAACCTTGTCTGACTACTCGTTGTATGGAGATTTTATCGGTGTAGTTATCTCTAATTTTTACGCTAGCCGTTTGACTCCAGTACAAATTTTTAATGACACGAATATCCTTGTCATCTATTGCAATATTTTTCAGTATTTGCATTAATTTTACCTGCTGTACTTTATCGAATGCCTTTTCGAAGTTCACGAAGCATGCAAATACATATTTTCTTTTGTTCCGGCATTTTTGTAATAATATGTTAAGCGCAAAAAGTGCCTCCCTGGTTCTCATAGCATTTCCAAACCAAATTAGGTATCTCCGAGAACTTCTTCGCATTTGCGTCTAATTCTGTAAAGTATTTTTAGGAAAATTTTAAGACTGTATCTCAATAAGCTAATTATTCGATATTCTGAGCATTTTCTCGCATTGTTTTTTAGGTATTGCGAGTATTGCGAATAAAGCAGATATTAAAGATTAAATAACATAATAGCTTTTATTATTTTATAGGTTTGTTGACTTTTGTTTTTATTGTTCTAGTATTGCAGTAAATCTAAAAATTATAAATTTGTTATGTATTTGATTTAAAGTCTAATTCGTTTTTTATAAAGAATTTTTTACCATTTCAGATAAAAATGTCATTTGATTTGGTTCAAGCTAATGTGGAAAAGTATTTATTTGTTCGTGGAACTTTAATAATATATAAAACTAACATATAATATTGCGCGTAAATCACTTGGTAAATCTATTATTAAGTAATTTGTAATTTTCATAGTTATTTCCTATCATCAACTTCTGAAGAAAACAAATTATTTTTGAGCATATAAATATTCACATACTACTTCTATTTACCATTCCAAATTTAGCCTTTGTATTTTACCATAGTACTTGTATAGCTAATACATTGATTTATTTCAAAAATGAAGGGATATTTAATTTTTGCCATTCTTCTAATTCTTACCATTGGCACGGAGTTGGCATTCGGTGATTGCCTTTCTGGAAGATATGGAGGTCCATGTGCAGTATGGGATAACGATACTTGTCGCAGAGTATGCCATGAAGAAGGGCGTGGAGGCGGACATTGCAGTGCCAGTTTGAAGTGTTGGTGCGAAGGATGTTAAAATTTATCAATCAATTAAAATTAATTTTATATTGTTCTTTGTAAACTTTATATATTATTAAATTGCATTTAAAAAACTTCTTATTTCTTTTCTTTTGTGTAATAAACAATTTTCATCCACACCTTTATTTAACTTAATTTTTAACTATGATATAGTGCCTAATGTGGTAAATAAAAGTGCCAATATTTTTTTATGTTCTGGTTAATCTGGTATAATTTATTCTTTGTAATTTTTATGTACACAAACACACACACACACACATTGATTGAAAACCAAGTTTTCTTTGGTCAACAGTTCATTATTTTGCCAATTTTCATTGGCATCATCAGATGAGAGCAACAATTATTTAAAACATGGTACAGTTTAATAATTATTTGTTATTTTATATCTTACTTAATTGAGGTTAAGGGCAGTGTGATTGTTAATAACATCAAGTACAAAGTACAATGCTTTATGTATGCAATGTGGATTGCAGCTGGATTCTAGATGTACTATTTAGTTTAAAAAGGCTGTATAATTTGTTCCACATTTAAAATATAAGGACAAATATAACACAAATTACAAACAAAACAGATACATTTAATTGAACGACTATTATTAAGGATATGTACCAGAAACACCACTTATTGAATGTTTCTTTTTTTAAGCCATTCTCTCTATTCGGATTGGCAATTCTTCTTATTCTAGCCATTCATCTCTGTTGTTTGTAAGAAGTTTCCACATTGGTCCTGCAGTTCTTTAACATCGTTGCTCCAGCGCATTTGCGGTCTTCCTCATGGTCTTTTGACTTCATATGGCCACCAATTCCGGTTTCTTTATTCTATCGACCATCCTAAGACGTTCGTTATGTCTAGCCCATTTCCATTTTAATTTAGCTTCTTATTTGCCAGCATCTTTTACTTTTGTTCTATTACGAAAGTCTTTATTGGTTTTATGGTCTTTAAGTGAGATACCTAGCAACTGTCGTGCCATAGCTCTCTGAGTTTTCTGATCTTCACCAGTTATTAGGAATTCAGGTTAGTCCATATGAAAATACAGGTAGGATACGGGATTATCACTTGGTTACAGTTTGAGGTATAATTTATTTTTAAGTACGTATGAGTGTCTTTCGAATACCATTTTTACACGTCTGCTTATTTCGGTAGTCTGATTTGCTTTGCTTACCTTGACATTTTGACTCAGATATGTATATTACGGCCTAGCGGTTTGCTTCGTTTGTTAACCGATAGTCAAATTTATCTTGCTCCTTTAGACAATCACTTCTTCAAATAACAACATTTTAATTTGCTTCACAAACACATTTAATATCCTCGTCTATTTCGTGTTTTGTGTTCTGATTCTCACCATTCATATAAATGTTCGTATTTTTTGGGACTAAGCGGATTCAAGAACTTTTCTCGTTGGTTAATCCACATAATTATTGTGTACGTGACCTGATTCCGCCTCATTCGGAGCGGCGAACCACGGTTTGCGAATCACGGCCTCGCGTTTTGCTTCGTTTGTTAACCAACCGTCAAATTTATCTTGTTCCTTTAGACAACCACTTCTTCAAATACCAACATTTCTATTTTGGTACACAACCACATTTAAAGTCCTCGTCTATTTTTTCCACATAGTTAATACAGATCAAATATGTTTTGGCATCTTTCTTATAATTCGTATCCTGCAAGATACAGGCTCCACAGCAAATTTTATTTCAGTGATCTATCAAATCTCGCATTTTTATAATCAGATCTTATAGAGATACTCATAGGGGTTGAATTGGTTCTGCGTTTCTTTGAGATAGATCTAGCGTAGATCTTTTCTACAAAGGTTTTGGGAAGTCGAAAACGAACGAAAACTAACAGGCACCTGTTAGTTTTGTCCCAACACAGACCAAGGCTCGTGAAGGATATTTCTAAGTTGTTGATTTTCTCAAAGTTAACAAGCCGATTTTCTGTTATTCCACCGTTTTTACAACCCAATCCTCTTTATTTATTTTTTTCTCCTGTTTATATTCGCTACTTATTCTTTATTTTATGCATATCTTCGTTTTGTATGCTAGAGAATCGTTTCAGGAAAACTCCCGAATCTCAAGGAGACATATGTTGCAGTCATGGAAGATTTTGTTACTTCTCAACATATGATGCCGGTTTCTGAATCCGAGTTTAAATCGACTATTTCTTATATAACTCTCGCACAGTTTTCAAAAAACAAATTTTCATTTTGCTTCGTTTATCCAAAATTCGTACTAGCTACGACGCCAATCTATATGAAGTTCGAGGTGTGTTGCTAATCGACGCTTTTGATACTGGTCCTAAAAGGGCATCTCGTTCTTTACTTAATTTTCGATATCTTCGTTGTTGTTTTATTTGCGATATAAAACAAATTTATCGACAAATTTAAGTAAATAAGGAATTTTAAAACTATAAAAAGGGGTTCTCTGAACCCCTTTTTATAGTTTTAAAGAAAACTCTTTATGAAAGAACATAAAAAAATTGGGACTCTCATTTAAATATTTAGCACATTGGTCACTATTATGATGTTAAAAATTAAGATAAATAAAGGTGTGGCTGGAGATTGTTTATTACACAAAAGAAAATAAAGTAAAAGTTTTTTAAATGAAATTTATTAATATATAAAGTTTACAAAGAAATTAATTTTGATTGATTGACAATTTTAACATCCTTCGCACCAACACTTCAAACTGGCACTGCAATGTCCGCCTCCACGCCCTTCTTCATGGCATACTCTGCGACAAGTATCGTTATCCCATACTGCACATGGACCTCCATATCTTCCAGAAAGGCAATCGCCAAATGCCAACTCCGTGCCAATGGTAAGAATTAGAAGAATGGCAAAAATTAAATATCCCTTCATTTTTGAAATTAATCAATATATTAGCTGTACAAGTACTATGGTAAAACACAAAGGCTAAAATGTGGAATGGTAAAAAGGAGGAGTACGTGAATATTTATATGCTCAAAAATAATTTGTTTTCTTCAGAAGTTGATGATAGAAAATAAATATGAAAATTCCTAACTACTTAATAATAGACTTACCAAGTAATTCACGCGCAATATTATGTGTAAGTTTTATATAATATTAAAGTTCCACGAACAAATAAATACTTTTCCACATTAGCTTGTACCAAATCAAATGACTTTTTATCAGAAATGGTAAAATTGTTCATAAAAAACGAATTATACTTAAAATCAAATACATAGCAAATTTATAAATTTTTAGATTTACTGCAATACTAGAACATCTAGTAATAAAAACCAATGGAAAACAAATGTAAACAAACTCTGTGAAAGAGTTAAAACTTTTACGTTATTTAAACTTTAATATCTGCTTTATTATCATATCATGTTTCTTCTTCTTCTTAGACTGCGGTCTTCCTACGGAGGTTGGCGATCATAATGATTATTTTTACTGTACTTGCTACTCTAAACAAATCAATCGATCTGAATTGATACCAATTACTTCAAGAGAGATCCTTTAACCACGAATTGTTTTACCTGTAGGTGTTTAATTGAATGTCTCTTTATATTATTTTTACTAGTCAAAGGGAGCTCAGCGTATTGGCTTTTAATGCCGAATAATGTGGCTTCGACCTTTACTAGGAATTGTGGAACTATAAAAAGGGGTTCTCTGAAGATCGGACTTTTTAAACCTCTCCAAGAGTTTTTACTCCGTATCGTTGCTTATGGTACTTCTTCGTTTTATTTTGCTTAAAACCTCTACAAGAGTAACGCTTAGCTTTTAAAGCTTGATGATTTCCGCTAGGCAGTGGACCAGCAACCATCTCGACAGACTTACGTCAGAATCACGCTACAAATGATTCTTTTTGATCTACTTACCTTCTGCAGTGAGTACTTGCTTAGCTTTTAAAGCACGATACGATGGTTTTCTATTTGATCTACTTACCTTCTACAGTGATCACTCGCTTAGCTTTTAAAGCTCGATGGTTTCTAGCTAGACAAATCGACAACGTCAGCAACCATCTTTATTTATTTTCAAGGCTTTGGCTTAGGCATTTTGATATGTTGTTCGTTGACAAAGGGGAGCCTTTGATTTTTACGGTACTGGGCCTAAAATGGAATCCTACGACTGACTTCTTTTCTCATTCTTCTCGTCCCTTTGATAAACCCTGTACAAAGCGGGCTATTCGTTTGTAAATCAGTCGTATTTTTGTTGCAATCCCCTTGTTTTTATTCTGTTTCTATCTTTTTGCAAGTTAAACGTCTTCTACAACCGTTGTGGTACCCTAATGTATCCTGGGATGATGAAATATCTAAACAGATACATCTGACCTCTGTACTTATATGTGTTACATTTCTGGTATTATTTTTATACAAGAACATCTATCGCATGATCGGAGCTCTTGGCAGCTATACTGCTGACTGATCTAGTCACCTTTGTTAACAAGTCTAGTCCAATTTTAATGCTCGCTCTGTCTCCACAAGATTGGAACTCTTGGCAGCCATATTGCTGACTGATCTAGTCACCTTTGTCAAAGGGTTCTCCTTCCGATCTTCCGATATTTGATCTGACTCGACGATTGCGCTCCCTTAAGCTAATTTTTCTACCTATAAATTGTCAATCGTAGTAAATATATACAAGAACTCAAACCACACTCTACTCGGCATTATAAGCCTTCTAATCAACACCTCCTTGATTGTGTTAGTCGTGTTTTATCACCGGCACAATTATTACAATTTTCACCAAACGGGCATTTTCTTACTGTGGATCTCATCGAAATATTATTACTTCCCGGATGTCATTGAAGACTTGAAATGCGACACCACGCCGAGATTTCGACGCTGTTATAATTCTTGTTTTTTGCGCACCCCACGGAATTCTTATAGAAAAAAACGGTATTGTGTTTGACACAGTCTTTCTAGTTTAGCCAATCGAAAAATTCTACTGATTCGATGCTATTCTTTTCTAACCGATAACATTGTACTTGTTGTTAATCTGAGCACAGTTTTAGATGGCATCCAACAATCAGACTACTG